CCGAGGCCTGCCACAGCTCCTCCCGAGCTGGCGGGCGTTCAGCGTGCCGGAGGGGTCCGCGACGACGCCTCCAGGCGCCGCGTGCTCTCCTCCTCGTCCTAACCCCTCCCCCCTCCCCCCTCCCTCCCTCCCTCCCTCCCTCAGGAGGGAGGGAGGAGGGAGGAGGGAGGAGGGAGAGGAGGGAGGAGGGAGGAGGGAGAGGAGGGAGAAGGGAGGAGGGAGGAGGTCCTCCTCGTCCTACCCCCAGCCCCTGACTGCGGAGCCGCCGCAAGTTCGGCGATTTCGCAAGTGGGGGCGGACATGTCCGCCGTACGGGCGGACTTGAGATTGCACACGGCACGCGACAGAACAGAAGAGTCTTCCGACGGCAACACGGCCTCCAACAGGGGAACGTTACCCCGGGACTGCAGAGGGCACGACGTACGATGCGCAGGACGCAGGAGCACGTTTGACTTCACAGGGTGGACCTATTCATCAGGGCGACTGTACTTTTCAGGCTCCCTTGGCGTCAACGTCCACCCTGCTCTGCCGCCGCTCTCGGCGCAACACCGCTACGGACACATCCGCCCTACTCCTCAGAGGCTCCGCTCTACTTATTCGCAGCGTGTGGGGTGCGATTCTGACACACTGAGAGGCCCGAAAATCAACCAAAGCACGGCGGATCCGAAATCATGAGAAAGGCAATCAATCATCGCGCTGGGAGGAAGGGGCTGGGAGGATACAGAGCACGACTGTGCTCTAAACACGCTCGACATACGCGATTATTGGACGCCCAAGCTGGGTAAGGAAAAAATGCGCACAACGCCCAACATTAAATGTTCTCCAAAACCAACCTACAGAGGCTGCTGTTGGGCAGGCAGCCTTATGTCTCAAATAGACAAGGCCCGCAGTGGCACCGACAACAAATCCTGTTCAGAATGAACAAGAACCGCTGCCAAGTATCGTGCCCATTCTTTCCGTACCCATTTCGACCGTCCTGAAACCTCATCATCCCGATCCGATCGCGGTCTTCCTGGGGACCGGGGACCGGCGAGGGCCCCCGGAGGCCGAAAATAGCGAAAAACCGCACGTCCTGATTTGCTCACGACGCGATCAGGTCTGGGGCGAGGTGTCGACCCCTCCCCAGGGACCGGTAGCTCATCCCGAGTCGTTTTCTGACGGCCCTGATGAAGGGGCCCTGGGACACACAAATAAATACACACAAAAAACAGGATTCCCCATACTTTCCAATATTTTCTGGGTTTTTGTCTTCCCCCCCAATTCCCATATTTTCCCATAGTTTCCCGGGAGTCGACGATTCATTGTGCCTGTGTGTTTTTTCCCCTCCTCACCTGATGCGCACGTGCCGCCGCCGAGGGAGGCGCGCCGCGGCACGAGGGGTGCGGGCGCCCCGGCAGCGCAGCCTTTCGTCCTCCTCGCCCCCCCCCCTACTTCGCGGCCTGCTCCCCATCCAGGTATGGCTGGATGGAATCGAGAGATCGAACAACCAAGCAGCAGCAATCGAGTCGCTTCACCAGGCAACCCACGAGGCAGCCGGAGAAGCAACCGATCAGGCAACCAAAGAGGCAGCCGACGAAGTAACCAACCGGGCACAAGACAATGCAGCCGATGAATCATCCAACCGCCAGGGGGTTCGCGGACATGGTAGCCGGACAGGGACATGGTAGCCGGACACGCCCTTGAATCAGTTGACTGCACAGGGAATCCACATGTCTGATCTCATATCCAGTGTGCTACAAACTTTGAAACAAACGTAACTTGTGCACTGGTCCGATGCTACTGTCGAACTACCGTAGCTCACACCACAGAACTCACGCAACATAGCTTACACGACATTGCTTACACAAAATAGGGTACACCACATAGCGTATACCGCATAGCTCACACCACATAGCTCACGTCGAATAGCTTACAGACTTCAATTACACCACCCATCGTACACCGCATAGCTCACACCACATAGCTAACGCCACATAGTTCTCACCACATAGAGCACGTAACATTGTATACACAACATAGCTTACACGACACAGCTCACACCGCGGAGCTTTCATAACCAGAATGCAATAACTTGCTGCCTGGGGTCCACGCTGGCCAATATATGTTGACGCCTATAGCTGCCTGCCGTGCAACTGTTTCGCGAGCTTCTGGAAGGTAAGGCGGAAACGATTCCTATCCGGATCAAAATCATGAGCCCGGGCGCGACCCCAATTGGGAGCCTCTTAACTCCACAACGACTCAAATTAGTTCTGAGCAACGCAAAGCAAAGCAATGCAATGAAAATAATTGCTTGGCATCTTGTGACATTGCTTTGCATTGATTGGCATTGATTGGAGCCGTTGCTTGGAAATGCTTGGCACTGCTTGTGGTTATGCATATTCTACATTGCTTGACAATTCTTGAGATTGCTTCGCTGTGCATGGTATTGCTTGGCATTGCATGGCATTGCTTGGTGTTGCTTCCCCTTGCTCGGCATTGCCTGGCTGCTTGGCATTGCTAAAAATCGTTGCTTGGCATTGCTTGCAATGGCACTCCCAAGGAACCAAGGGCAACGCTGGGGGCGAGGATTCCAAGCAACGCCTGCAGGGAACCCCAGGCAAAGCCAAGAGCGGCCTCTGATGAAGGGCTCCGCATCCACCGGTTTCCTTCACATACTAACTAATCAGAAACCCTCATGCGAAGCCTAGTTTGGGGACCATCCAGAGGAGCGCGTCCCCATTCAGGTCAGAACTGTCACCCCACCACCTGAGTGCTGCAAATTGCGGAGCTGCCTGCGAGCTCTCCAGCTCCTGGATGGGTACAAAGGAGCGCGGAGCTGTTCGGATCCAGAACATGATTCCCCTCCCCCTGGGCGCTTCCAACCGCGAAACTGTCGGCACTGCCGTGAGCTCATCGGAGCTGCAGCGGAGCGCGGACCTGCGCGGATCAGACATCTGACCTCCCTCCATGCGTGTTGCCAGCTGAGCTGCCAGCACCCTTGTGAGTGAATGGAGGCTCCCGCGGAGTGCGGTCCCAATCTCATCCTTATGATCACAACCCTCTCCGGGCGCTGCCAACTGCGGGACTGTCGGCGCGTTCGCGAGCCTGCGGGGGGTGTCGCACTGAGCGCAGTGCGATGCAATTCCAAACTCTCACTCCCCTCACTGGGCGCGGCCAACTTCTGCACTTTCGGCACCTCCCGTGACGTCCAGCGGAGCGCGGTCCTACGTGGACCCAAGCTCTACCTCCCCCCCCTTGGACGCTGACAGCTGCAGCACTACCAGTGCTCCTCCTCGCATGCCTCCTCCTCCATGACCCCTCCTCAATTTCGGTAGCAACTCATGGGAGCCTCCAAAACCACCTTGTTGGCCCTTGCGAATCGACGCTGCTCGGCGCTAAGTCGACGCTAATCGACGCCAGTCGACGCGAAATCGGCTCGATCTCATCGACTACCAAGCGCTAACAGACGCTAGTGCACTCTAGGCTAACATGATTCATTACTGAAGCAAACAGTCAATGTACACAAGAGCAGCCAAGTGGAACAGGGTTGACAAGATGCGACGCCTCGTCAGAGCTATCCTGGCAAACTTAGCCATCCCCTCCCGTCCATTGAAATTGCTTCTGCATGGGCGCTCAAGTCCTTGCATGCGTAGCCCTGCGCCCTCAGCACATGCCATGGCCGCAACTCACACAAACCCCTCCGCTCCAGGCTCGCTCGTGGCCGCCGCCGCGCCGAGCTTGCCTGGGCGCCACAGGGAGAGATGAGGGGTTCCTGGGGAAGCGAAGAACAAGCGGCGGGGGGAGAGACTGGGAAGGGGGTCGATATGTGCAACAGGGGGGGGGGGGGCGGAGTGAATGGGCAGAGGAATATGGCACATGGGGCCACGACGCAGGTCGCCGTCGGACCGTGGCATGGCCGGTGTGCCGTGCTCCATCTGACGCTGCTGGCTCGAGAGGACGCGGGACAGCAAAAAGCAAGGATTAGGAAGAGGAGGGCCCCTCGAAAAGGGCCCTCCTCTTCCACACCTTAAAAGAAAGTCCCACGCGGAAGCCTCCTGGGTCTCCTCTTGGGCTTCCTCGGCCTCCACATCCTTTTCTGGCTCCTATCGGGGGCGAGTTCGGGGGGAAGTGAGAAAGAACACACCATTTTCAAACAGCAGTGGGGCTTCTCAGAAGCCCTCTGGCCTTCTGAACAGTTGCCTCTTGCGTCTTCGGGCTGGGCTTAGACACCTTCTCAGAAGGCTGGGGGACTTCGGAGCTTTGTGAGTAGGCCCGCCCTCGGGGATCTTCTGACCCAGGTCAATCCAGACCCAGGTCAGCCAGACCTTGCAAAATCCTGCAAGACCCTGCAAAATCCTGCGCCCAAACCCGGGTCAATGCGAAGAATCCTGCAGGATCCTGCAAGATCCGGCACCCAAACCCAGGTCAATGCAACCCTGTCCCTGCAGGATCCTGCAAGATCGGGCGCTCTGACTGACCCTCGTTTGCATTGACCCCCGCCTCAAGGCTCCCGACGCCCCTCTTCACTTCCTCCTTCGGGCTCGCCGCCGAATCGAGTCGGGAATGATGTTTTGTGGGCGATCATCGTGCAACGTTGAATCGCGGCCACGAAAGCGCGGGGCGGGCGCCCCCCCCACCCCAGCCCCCATGCCTGGGCGAACGGGAAGGGGCGGGCGCCGCGCGCCGCGCAGCGGCGCGGGGCGACGCTTGCCCAGGCGGTGGGCGCGAGGCGTCGCGCAGGCCGCCCTGCTTGCATGGGCGAGCGCGCGAGGGGGCGTGTGCGCCGCCCAGGGTTGGGAGGGGCGTCACGCACGCACGGCTGGTGGGGGGTGTCCCGCCATGCTCGGCGAGAGGCACCTGCGGTCGAGCCAGATCGAGCCCGCCGTCCTCGTCCAACGAGTCGCAGGGGGCTGGGGGGGGAGACTCGAGGCGAACATCGCCCGCTGGAGAGGCCCGCCAGCAGGGCCCACCCGCGGGAGCCCAGCAGCCAGCAACAAATACCAGAAGTTGAGGGATGAACAAACGGCCCTACCCTGGTTTACAAGTGCGTGGTCTGTAAACCTCCTGGGACCCCCCAAAGCCTAGAGCCGCCAGGACGCGGCACATCACGCAGGGTTTACCCTGTCAGCCCACAGGAGTTTCAGCGCACATCGCCTCGTAAACCAGGGTAGGGGCGTTCTTTTTATGCCCTTGAAGAAGCTGGAGCTTCCCTGGACAAGCGCGTTCCACTACTCGCAAATCAACAACTCGCAAATGGCCTGGATCCACCGCGGGGGATTTACGATAGATCACATAGAGGCGTACCGTTTGCGAGCAGGCACTTTGCGAGTAGTGGAGCGCGCTCGGCGACTCCCCGAAATTCGCCTGGCGAAGGACCCAACCATATGCAGTTGTGAGTATCGCAATTGTGAATATCGTATTCGGTGGCGCTCCCTGTGGGGCCACGGACCGCATGAAGGGCGCGCCGAACTGTGTGGCGGGGTACACAACACGGTGTACACAACACGAACGTGGACGATAGGCTTGAGTTCGAGAGACTGAGCGCGGGTAAGTCTGAGCGCGAGTGAATATGATTGTGAATGAGTCTGCGTGCGAGTGGACCTATTTGCATGAATGCGAGCATGGTTACACCCAGTGTAAATGTATATGAACGTGAACGGTTTGGGTACGCTTGGCTCTGGGTGCTCGTGGCACTGGGACCTTAGATGGAGCACCCTATGGGGTCACGAAACGTGTGGGGGGTGTGCCAAAATGGGGCGGCGCCGCCATGCGAACTGCGCCATGGAGCCCTTAGGCGGAGCTCCCCATGGGGCCACGAAACGTATGAGGGGTGTGCCAAAATGGGGCGGCGCCGCCATGCGAACTGCGCCACTGGGACCTTAGATGGAGCTCCCTATGGGGCCACGAAACGTGTGAGGGGGGGTGCAAAAATAGGGCGGCGCCGCCATGCGAACTGGGCCACTGGGACCTTAGGTGGAGCTCACTATGGGACCATGAAACGTGTGAGGGGTGTGCCGAAATGGGGTGGCGCCGCCATGCGAACTGACCCACTGGGACCTTACTGTGCCACTTGGACCTTAGATGGAGCCCCCTATGGGGCCACGAAGCGTGCGAGGGGTGTGCCAAAATGGGGCGGCGCCGCCATGCGAACTGCGCCACTGGGACCGTAGGTGGAGCCCCCATATGGGGCCACGAAACGTCTGAGGGGTGTGCCAAAATGGGGCGGCGCCGCCATGCGAACTGCACCATGAGGCCTTTAGGTGGAGCTCACTATGGGGCCACGAAACGTGTAAGGGTGTGCAAAATGGGGCGGCGCCGCCATGCGAACTGGGCCACTGGGACCTTAGGTGGAGCTCGGGGCCACGATGGGGCGCGGCGCCGCCATGCGAACTGCGCCATGGGGCCCTGCGGGGCCAAACGTGTGAGGAGTGTGCCGAAATGGGGCGACGCCGCCATGCGAACTGCGCCACTGGGACCTTAGATGGAGCTCCCTATGGGGCCACGAAACGTGTGAGGGGTGTGCAAAAATAGGGCGGCGCCGCCATGCGAACTGCGCCACTGGGACCTTCGGTGGAGCTCACTATGGGGCCATGAAACGTGTGAGGAGTGTGCCGAAATGGGGCGACGCCGCCATGCGAACTGCGCCACTGGGACCTTAGATGGAGCTCCCTATGGGGCCACGAAACGTGTGAGGGGTGTGCAAAAATAGGGCGGCGCCGCCATGCGAACTGCACCATGAGGCCTTTAGGTGGAACTCACTATGGGGCCACGAAACGTGTGAGGGGTGTGCCAAAATGGGGCGGCGCCGCCATGCGAACTGGGCCACTGGGACCGTAGGTGGAGATCACTATGGGGCCATGACTCCGTGTGAGGGGTGTGCCGAAATGGGGCGGCGCCGCCATGCGAACTGCGCCACTGGGACCTTACTGTGCCACTTGGACCTTAGATTGAGCTCCCTATGGGGCCACGAAGCGTGCGAGGGGTGTGCCAAAATGGGGCGGCGCCGCCATGCGAACTGCGCCACTGGGACCTTAGGTGGAGCCCCCATATGGGGCCACGAAACGTCTGAGGGGTGTGCAAAAATGGGGCGGCGCCGCCATGCGAACTGCACCATGAGGCCTTTAGGTGGAGCTCACTATGGGGCCACGAAACGTGTAAGGGGTGTGCCAAAATGGGGCGGCGCCGCCATGCGAACTGGGCCACTGGGACCTTAGGTGGAGATCACTATGGGGCCATGACACCGTGTGAGGGGTGTGCCGAAATGAGGTGGCGCCGCCATGCGAACTGCACCACTGGGAGCTTACTGTGCCACTGGGACCTTAGATGGAGCTCCCTATGGGGCCACGAAGCGTCTGAGGGGTGTGCCAAAATGGGGCGGCACCGCCATGCGAACTGCGCCACTGGGACCTTAGGTGAAGCTCCATATGAGGGGTGTGCCAAAATGGGGCGGCGCCGCCATGCAAACTGCACCAAGGGGACCTTAGGTGGAGCTCCCTATGGGGCCACGACAACTTTTGAGGGGTGTGCCAAAATGGAGCGGCGCCTCCATGCGCAGTTCGCCACTGGGACCTTAGATGGAGCTCCCTATGGGGCCACGAAACGTGTAAGAGGTGTGCCAAAATGGGGCGGCGCCGCCATGCGAACTGGGCCACTGGGACCGTAGGTGGAGATCACTATGGGGCCATGACACCGTGTGAGGGGTGTGCCGAAATGGGGCGGCGCCGCCATGCGAACTGGGCCACTGGGACCTTAAGTGGAGCCCCCTTATGGGGCCACGAAACGTGTGAGGGGTGTGCCACAATGGGGCGGCGCCGCCATGCGAACTGCGCCATGGAGCCCTTAGGCGGAGCCCCCTATGGGGCCACGAAACGTCTGAGGGGTGTGGCAAAGTGAGAGGGTGACGAGAGGAGAGGGGGGGAAGGAGGAGGGGGAGGAGAGGAGGAGAGGAGAGGAGAAGGAGAGGAGAAAGAGAGGAGGAGAAGGAGGAGAAGAGGAGGAGGAGAGGAGAGGAGGGACGCGCGGACCGCCTCTTCAGAACGAGGACCCCACGCCACGGGATGGCTGTGAGAAAACAGAAAACTGTGGACAGGGGCCGCGGCAGGCCCCGGGGCGGCCCGAGCCGAGCGCTCCGGATGCTCAGCCCTCGGGCCCGGGCCGGACCCGCAGAGTGCTGGCAGGACCGGGCACCCTCAGGCAGAGAGAAGAAAAGCCACCCCCAGAATGAGCACCCCGACGAGCGAAGCAGTTCAGTAAACGCACCCGTGGAAGGAATCGAACAGGGCAGGGCTGTTCAGTAAACGCCCAGGGCTGCTTAGTACACGCGAGTTGTCGGGGTCGGGGCGGTTTTTCCACCCTTGATCAGGGGCTCGGTTCCTCTAGGCATCCTGTTGCCGGTGTCGGCTTTCCGATGCTGCCGCTGCCGGAAAGCCCGTGCCGGCTCCAAGGAACGCCACCTGAAAAGGTCGGAGCACGCTCCTCCTCGTGGGCGCCGATGGAGTGGAGTGAGCGGCAGGGCTCGAGCTAAACGGTGCTTTGGCACTTTCGCGGACCGTTTTCGTTTTGACTTCGTTCTGCAGCCAATGTGGCACGAAGACAGCACTGGGGACGACGAAAGCAAAACGAACACGGAGAACACTGCTTCACTCGAGCCCTGGTGAGCGGGGGCTCACTATATAGCCCTGAGTTTGTTTGGTTTCGTGCGTTTTTTTCGGCGCAAACGATCAAGGAGGCTCCTCGATGGTCCTCGCCGAAAGAAAAATGCACACGTTCGAGAGATGCCAAGTCTCCCTCGTGGGCGCCGATGGAGGGAGCGGGGGCCCACTAGAGAGCCCGAGGGCGAGACCCGGGCCGCGCCCGTCGTCGCAAGCCCCATATGGAGCCCGAAGGCGGCATCTCGAGACGCGCGGGGCGGGTGGGGCCAGGGAGCTCAGAGGGTGCTCCTCGGCCTCGTGGGGCGCACTGGAATCAAGGGGCCCAAGGACACACAAGTATATATATATATATATACACACACAAATAAAATGATTCCCCATATTTTCCCATATTTTCTGGGTTCTTGTCTTCCCGCCCAATTCCCATATTTTCCCATATTTTCCTGGGAGTCGACGATTAATTGTGTCTGCGTGTTTTTTTCCCTCCTGATGGAAGAGGAAGAGGAAGAGGGAGAGGGCCCCAGGCGTCCTGCATCTTCCCTCCGCATGTTCAGGTGGCAGCGGGCCGACGGGCGCGAGGGCACGTGCGACGGCGTGCCGCTGAGACTCGAGGCTTGTCTTTTCCCGGCGGATCTTGGTGCTGGTCAGGGCTCGAGCCAAACGATGTTTTCCGTTTCCGTTTTGCGTTCGTTATCCCTGGTTCTATCTTCGCTCAACCGTTGCTGTAAAACGAAATCAGAACAAAAACGGTCCACGAAATCACCAAAACACAGTTTAGCTACAGCCCTGGTGATGGCGTCGGGTTTCGGTGCGCCGTTAGGGGGACTGCCCGCGCCAAAGGGCGAAGCACCTTTAGAGGCCTCCTAGATGGGGTCCAAGTAGATGGGGTCGAAGGATCGCGCCGCATGGCCAATGCATCGGCGATGCATCGGCGACGTCGGGGTGGGGAAACACGGGCTCCACGTCGAGCCGCACCGTCGATGCATCCGCTATGCGGCGCGATCCTCCGACCCCACCTGCTCGGACCCCATCCAGGAGAGCCCAGCATCGAAATCGGCGATCGAAATAATAATAATCGGCGATCGAAATAAAACATAACATCGGCGATTGAAATAAGAATAAGAAAACGCATCGGCGATCGAAATCACAAACCGGAAAGGCGGGCATCGGCGGCCGAGCCGGGAGAAGCCGACGCGGCCGACGCCGGCAGCGGAGCCGGGCCTTCCTTGAGCCACCTCGGAACCCCCCCCACACCGGAGCCCGACCCCGAATCGAACCGGCATCGGAGCCCATTGCATCGACTCGAACCGGAGGAGGAGGAGGAGGAGGAGGAGGAGGAGGAGGAGGAGGAGGAGGAGGAGGAGGATGAGGAGGAGGAGGACGAAAAAAACGAGGAGGAGGAGGAGGAGGAGGAGGAGGAGGAGGAGGAGGAGGAGGAGGAGGAGCAGGACGAGGAGGAGGAGGAGGAGGGGAAGGAGGAGGACGAGCCCTGCCCACCTGGGAGGCCCGGAGAAAACCCTGGGCAGGAGGCGCCCGCCGCCGTGCCGCGGGCACCGGCCACGGGGCGCCTCCCCGGGCAGCTGCATAGGCCCCCCGCGATCGCGCCAGGAGGAGCAGCCACGACCCCGGGAGGCCCTTCGCCGTCTTCGTCCCTGTGGGGAAAACGAACAAGGCACCCTGGCGGCGCGCGCAAGAGACACCAAAAAACTTCAGGAAAGAAAGATAACGGCGAACTAAAAAAACATGTTAGTGGGAAGTAGTGGGTGTGGGACTCCGCGGCCACGACAAGGGGGTGGAGGGAGGGGGGAGGGCTTCGTAGGAGGAGGCTGCTTCTTAGGAGGCCCCGGCCGTACATCTTCAGACAAGGCCCGCGCCTCCTGAGGAGCAGGGGTGCTTCTAGGAAGTCCTCCCCCCTCCCCCCGACCCCCTCTGCGCGTGGCTGAGTACCGATACCGCTACTCCTCGGAGCTCTCCCCGGGTGCGTTCCGACCAGGATAGTTCGAGGCGAGTCCAGCGGTGGCGACGAGGGCCATCCAGGAGGCCGACAAGAAGGGACAACGGGCGAAGGGCAGCGGTGTATGGGTACCGCTTCCTCCTCCGAGGCCTCTGGGGGCCCTTGCCGGGCGCCGGGCGCGTCCCAGAACAACAGCAAGGATGAAAAGCCAGTCCTGGGGAAGGGGTCGAGCTCTCTCTCGACGGAAGGAATACAAAAGTATCCGCGGTCACAGCCTCGGGGGCCAGGCCCCTGGGCCGCAGCCCCGCGGACACAGGGTGATTGTTCGCGAATGCCCCGCGCTGCGTGCGACCGCGCGGGATCGCGCCCCAGAATCCGGACCCCGAGGGCGCGGATATGGACAGGTTCGCCGCTCGTGACTCTCTTTCTGTTGCTCCCATCGTACTTAAGGACCACATCCCAGAAATAATTCCGAGCACACAGAAAAGTGCCGAAACAGTGTTGAACGAGTATCGCCTCCCAGGGCCTGACACGTGAAAACCATCAAAATTCGGTACTTTCTTGGTGCTCGAAATTCTTTCTGGTGGTCAAGGCTAGTGTAGGAGCCCTAAATCTGGAACGATGTCCCTATTTCCCATGAGTTGAACTTCGATCTCCTACAGAAAACCTTAGGACAACCTCAGGCAAACTGTAAAACGATAAAGAAACACCGAGCCCCTCCCCATCGAAAAGGGTTCCTTCTTCAACGCCCCGATTGTATGTTAGCCGCTCCTGACTCTCTGCATTGAGGGCTGCAAGCTGTCCTTTGATTCATGGCCCTGGGCCTGGGGTTCACCGCAATCTCAAGCGCTACCGGGGCTTCATCGCACCGTCTCTCCGAGAAGGCCTCAGACCACGCTTCCAGCACTGTTAAGGGTGGCCCCAAAGGCCTATCATTAGGTCGGGCATGTCCTCCTACAGTGGGATTTTGGACGAACTATCACAGCTACTAAAAAAACATATAATCAAGACATGATCCAACACATCGTCCCCAGACTACGTGTCCCTACTTTTGAACACTCTTTCTGTAGAGGCACACGCCCGACTGAAGACTATCATGGGCCTTTCTTGGAGGCCTCTCGGGCCATCTTGCCACCCTGTGAGCCCTTCAAGACTGTCCACGACGAGCCCCAAGACCACGCCAAGATGGAGCCCGGGCCCCGGCAGCCCCACACGGAGCCCCCAGGGGGCACCCGTGGAGCCGCCCTCCACTCAAAGATGGCCCCGGGAGGGCCTCGGAGGCTCCCCGGAGGTTCCCAAGGGGCCCCAAGGAGACCCCGCAGAGGACCCCCCGACGGCCTCCGCGACCAGCCAGGAAGCCCCCAGGAGGCCCCAAGAGGTCCACAGGACACCCCCAACAAGGCTTGCAGAGGCCTCCAAGAGGCCCCCGAGAGGCCTCCCACGACACCGAAAAGGGCATCTGGGAGGTCGCTGTCCAACAATCCACGCACAATATTATACCATGCGTTTATGAGGCCCGGGCAAGAACCCTCGCAAGTAACAACCATGCGGTGCACATGTATCGTTCTTACCCATGCGTCTTTCAAGAATCCGAATCGCATTATGGTAATGCGGGCGGAACGCGCGCGCACATTCCCAGATCCTTCATAGCCTCCTCATTCTTCTCCTCCTCCTCCTCCTCCTCCTCCTCCTCGTCCTCCTCCTCTTCCGCACCCTCCTCCTCCTCCTCCTCCTCCTCCTCCTCCTCCTCCTCCTCCTCCTCTTGCTTCATTTCCTCCTCCTCCTCCTTCTCCTCCTCCTCCTCCTCCTCCTCCTCCTCCTCCCCGTCATCCCGCTTGGCCGGTCGCGCAGGCTCCGCTGAGCGGGCGGCGAAGGTCCCAGAGCTCCAGGCGGTGGTCCTGGGTGGTGATGAGGACCTGTATTCCCCAACCTGCACGGTTTCCCCCCGGGCCGTAGGCGACCTGAGAAGGAGAAGAAGGAGGAGGAGGAGGAGGAGGAGGAGGAGGAGGTGGAGGTGGTGGAGGGGGAGGGGAGAGGAGGAGGAGGAGGAGGAGGAGGAGGAGGAGGAGGAGGAGGAGGAGAAGAAGGAGGAGAGGAGGAGGAGGAGAAGGAGAGGAGAGGAGGAGAAGAGGAGGAGGAGGAGGAGGAGGAGGGCGGAGGAGGAGGAAGAGGAGGATGAGGAGGATGAGGAGGAGAAGGAGGAGGAGGACGGGTCGCCTAAGCCCTTGGGAGAAACCCTCCACCCCCAGCCTCTCCCCGAAGACGGAGCAAGGTCTGGTCAGGTCAGAAGCCTTGGGCCAGACATATAGGCAAAACAAGTACCCCTGATCTCTTGGGAGGGGACCTGAATTAGGAGGGCCAGATACATTGGAGATTGGGGGTCCGTTTTGCAGATGTCTCAGACGAAGCCACCCACACGTTTAGGGCATCAGGCCGAAGTATCCCGGATCAGGCCACGGGACAAGCGGGAACAACCTGGATAAAGCGGGATCAAGCCGGATTGAACGGAATTCAGCCAGAGTTGGAGGGTTTTCGAGCAAGGATATACCACCGCAGATTCTGAATTCAACCTCCCAGGAGTAACATCCTAACGAGGGCGACTGGTGGGTGGAAGGCTAACGGTGGCGGGGGACCAGTTCAGGGCGGGTGATATCGAGCTGGAATCGGCGATACATCACCGACTGATCGGCGACAGGTACCCGATAGCGAACACGCATGCTGCTGGGCTATCGGGCCCCTATCAGCGATCCATGGGCGACTGGGGGTCGATGCGTCTCCCCCAGAGCCTATCCCCCCCTAACGGTGCCTCTGTCAGCCTCTTCCCCAAATGAGGAGAGCACAAGGTACCGATACTGCTACTCCCTGGACCTCCCGCGGGGTGCGTTGTGACCAGAATTTCGAGGCGAATCCAGCGGTGGTGACAAGGGCCGCCCAAGAGGCCCCCAAAAGGGAAAACGGGCGCAGGGCAGAGGTGTGGGCACCTTTTCCTCCTCTTCCCCGAGGGGGGTGGGCGGGGGTGGGGCAGCAGCCGTCAGCATCGAATCGATGAGTCAGATCAGGTCGGATCGGCCTGCGTCGGCACAAGTGGTCGGAAGCGAGCCGGATCGGCCGCGCCACTGGCCATCGCTCGGACGTCCACTTCCTGTGCTTTTTTCGGTCTCGTGCGTGGTTTCGTCGCGAAATGATCAAGGAAATGTACGCGTCCGAGCGATGCCAAGGAAAAATGCCGAAGGAAAAATGCATACGTCGAAGTGGGTCCTCGCCGAAGGGAAAAGGCACACGGCTGGGAACGTGCTTAGGACACGAAAGCCATTGGATTCCGTTGGTCTGCTTGCATTTGGGCTACATTGTGTTTCTATTTGTAACGGATTTATGGATGTTCAGGAAACCTCATCGAACATAGCATGATTCAGCGTTTCTGTAATTTCCCAAGAGGGAAAAATAACATGTTGTCGCGTTTATGACTGGTTTCCGAATCGAAAAATACATGTCGCATTACGTTTCTGCTGCTTTCGTTCGTCATTTCTCGACACCTATGATCAAACCCACATCCCTGCGCGGGCCGTAACATACGGTTGCGCTCAGAATTCCATCGCCATTTCTTAACACCTATAGTCAAACCCACATCTCGGCGCGGGCCGTAACATACGGTTACTCTGCGAAATCCATCGTCATTTCTCGACACCCATAGCCAGACCCGTTTCGGCGCGGGCCTTAAAATACGGTTGCGCACTCGGGATCCTTAGGCTGGGGCGGGCCCCGCCTTCAGGAAACGAGGGGCGTCGTCGTCTTCGTCGCCGTCGGGCCGTCGCCGTCTCCGCCGCCGCCGCCGCCGCCGTCGCCGAGCCGTCGCCGTCGTCATCGCCGCCACCGCCGCCGCCGTCGTCGTCGTCCTCGCCGCCGCCGTCGTCGTCGTCGTCGTCGTCGCCGTCGTCGTCGCCGTCGCAGTCGCCATCGCCGTCGTCGCCGACGCTGTCGGCGTCGCCGTCGTCGTCGCCGCCGCCGCCGCCGTCGTCGTCCTCGCCGCCGCCGCCGCCGTCGTCGTCGTCGTCGCCGTCGCCGTCGTCGTCGCCTTCGCCGTCGCCGTCTCTGTCGTCGCCGACGCCGTCGGCGGCCCAATGTCGGGCGCGTCGGGCGCGCGCGAGCCCCGCCGGGCCGCGGCCATAGTGGCTGGAGGAAGGGGGAGCGACGGCCGTCGCCGTCGCCGTCGTCGTCGTTCTCCTCCCCTCAGTCCTCCCCCTTTTCCTCCTGTTTCCTCCTCCCTTCTCGTCGTCCTCCGGTCTCTTCCTTCGGGCCTCCTCTCTTCTCGTCTTCTCCTCCCTTCTCGTCGTCCTCCGGTTGGGCACGGCGGCGTCGTGTTCCTTTTTCCTTCGGGCCGCGGGGCGTTTGGCCGCATGGCGGACCTCCGCGGTGCGTTGCAGCGCCTCGGCCCGTTGGTCGCGCGGGCCGAGTGGCCTCGGTGCAGCTTCCAGGTGGCCAGCGTGGTGCCTTGGTTGGCGGAGTTGCACAGCGGCGGCGAGGACGTGGTGGGGCGCTCGCTGAACGTGGCCAAAGCCCGTTCCATGCTGAGGACAGCGGTGGCGGCGAGCACCACCTCCTGCGTCCCTGGCGCGCTGAGCACGTGCGACGTGATGAAGTTGGCCAACCAGTGTGGCGTCGAGCTGTCGATTCAGGTCGTGGGTTTCTCCTCCTTCTCCTCCTTCTCCTCCTCCTCCTCCTCCTCCTCCTGATCCTCCTCTTCCTCCTCCTCTCTCCTCTTCCTCCTCCTCCTCGACTCCTCTCCCGTCATTTTCGCCCGCTCCCAGTCCTCCTCCTCCTCCTCCTCCTCCTCCACCTCTTGCTTACGTATTCCCGTATTCCCCTCCTCCTCTCCTCCTCTTTCTCCTCATCTCCTCTCTCCTCCTCCTCCCCTCCTTCTTCTCTTCTCCTTCTCCTTCTCCTCCCTCCTCCCTCCTCCTTCCTCGGGGGGGGGAGGAGGCGGAGGAGGGGGAGGGAGGAGGGTCGGAGGAGGGGGGGGGCTTCCAGCACCTTCTCTTTTCCCGCCGCAGGCGTGGGACGAGCTGGACGCCCAGCTCGCGGCAGCTGCCGCGGAGCCGCCTGGGCGCGGACTGCACGCGGCGCTGGCGCTGGTCCGGGGGGCGGGGGGCCAATCAATCCCCCCTCTGCCAGGGGCCCCTCTGCCAACCCCCGCCTCCTCCCTGCATTCGGCCAGAGGGCCAGGCGGATACGCGGAGTCCGTTCCAGTCTACGAGGACGAGGAGGATGAGGGAGGAGGAGGAGGAGGAGGAGGCAGATGGGGCAGAGGGCAGAGGGGAGGTAGAGAGGAGGAGGAGGAGGAGGCGAGGACGAAGAGAAGGAGGAGGATTACCTCCCCATCCATCCTGTTCGGCTTGCGCCACTCGCCACCGCCGTTCCCTCCCCTCCCTCGTGGACGCGGGGCCCCTTGCACCCCCCTGGGACAGCCAGACTGCGGGGAAGAGTGGGAAGAGTGCCCTTCGCGCCGCCACAGGCTGCTGCTGGGGGGGTTTGGCCTCGCGAGGTCTCGTGGTGCTCTTGACGAGGCGCGTCCCCGGGTCCCCCCTCCTTGGACTCCATCCTTGGACTATGACTTGAGTTGCACGGGTTTCCGACTCCGATTCCGACTCCCCTCCCCTGAGGATGGGGGAGAGGCTCGGAGGAAGGGGGGGAGGAGGAGGAAGAGGAACGGGGAGGAGGAATAGAAGGCAGTCCCTCCCCTCGGGGCCGTTTCGTCACGAGCGCGCGGTGGCCGATCGTTTTCGAAATGGGCGTCCTTGGGTTAGAGGTTGAAAGGCTGGGGGGATGAATGAAGGAGCGGAGTGAGGAGGCCCCCCCCCGCCCCGTCTAGCGCCTAGCGCCCGTGCCCCTAGTGGCCCGCGCCCGCAGCACGGTCACGCGGCGCCACGCGGTGCCGCATCACCTGGAGCGGGAGGGGCCCAGGGGGGCCTTCTTCTTCCTCCTCTCATGGCTCCTCCTCCTCCTCCTCCTCCTCCTCCTCCTCCTCCTCCTCCTCCTCCTCCTCTCTGAGGATGGGGGGGGAGGAGGAGGGAGGGAGGAGGGCGGAAGAGGAGCGGGGGGGATGAGTAGGAGGATGGCGTGGGCGAGGGGATTCGGGTCGGTCCTGAGGTGGCGGAGCCGCCGAACCCGCCGTCGCAGTCAGACTCCGACGACGACGAGGGCTGCCCCGACATGAACATGCTCAAGAGGGCTCGCAACAGAGCGTGGTACCACAAGAAGAAGGCGTCGGAAAGGAAGGAGGTCATCAGGGTCATGCGCTTGGAAATGAAGTGGTACCAGCAACAGTACGAGTATTGCAAGCGCAGCACCAGGGCGAGAGGCGTCGTGAAGCATCGGAACACGTTGACTATTTCAGGCGGGTATTCTCTCGCGCTGAAACGAGCAATCGGGTTGGTCTCCCAGCAGAGCCTCCTGGGCGTGTTGGACGTCCGTGTCAGCAGGTACTCATGCAGTAGGTGGGAGAAGAGGCTCGCACGCAACATCACCCTGCAGTCGCGAGAGTGGCACCGCCGACGCCTGGACTTCCTCGCCAGAGTCGAGCGCGGCGACGTCGTGCACGCGGTCGAGGGCGAGGGCGGTGGCCACCTGCAGGGGGGTCGGAAGTTCACTTATGAGATACACAGCGTTGCTGGCGACGGCACCAACAGCGCCGTGAAGTTGCAAATGAAAGCCCACGTGACGTGCGTGCGCAGCCTCTATGAGCTCGACCCGTACCGCCACCATCGCCACGGAGCCGCAGCAACTGCGGAGATCATGACAGAGGATGGCACGTGGGATCACGAAGAGATTCCCAACCCAGCCGTGTATGAAATCTGGCCAGACATTGCACAAATCCCCCACTCCAACACGGGCCACACGCAGAGTGCGCTCTACCGCAAGC